ACCCTCTCCAGGTATCCTCTAGGTATATTCATGCAGAGTACTAGTGGCACAATAGTAGTGGAGTTGAGCGCCTCTGGTGGTGAGTGGTAGCCTTGAGAGAGGTTCCTTGAAGGTGGTGGTGAGGGTCTCTTGATCCAAGGAAAGTGATCTATGCCACCTGGGAGTGAACGTATCCTCCCAAGTGGTTCATGACCTCCCACGGGTTGAGATGGTGTAGTAGTGCCATCTAGTGGTGGTAATCAGAGTTAGTCAGGTTATCAATGATGGTGTTATAATGAAGGTCAGGACAGTGACCAACCTCAAGATCACTGAAGGTCAGTTGAACTTCAGTGGTCGTACATGAGAGACATGTTGCTCCTCCTCCTGTCACCCCCCCGCCGGCTTTACCGCTTCCTCATCCTTTTAATACATCGAAACAACGTAAGTATTGTCTGGTGACGTATTTGTCAGTATAACAGCAGAGTTGAGATGCAGCTCCTGGTCCCCACTACCAATTTGGTCACCAAATTATTAATGTTTTAATAGTCTTAATTTTCTTTGGGGTCTAATGTCTTAGAGGGGGGCGGGGATGATTGACCTTATTGGAGGGGTTTTGATGCGAGGAACTGGAGTTACTCCCCTTCCTCTGATCAAACAATAACTCTCACACTAGGCGTTACATTAACCATAATGGTGTATCCAGTTCTGGGCTATTTTTTCCATTATTGAAAAATAACTTAGGGAAGGTCTCTTGATCCAAGGAACTTGCGCATTGTGATCCAGATAGACTTCTATGTAAAAAAATTGTTAGTCATCAGGTTTATGTGGAAGAAATATTCAAGAAAAAGATAGCCTTACTTACTATGTTAAACATTAATGGGTATATTAGTCAGGCAGTAATATTACCAGTTTATATTAATGGTAATGTTTACATATAAATGTGTAATGTTCATGGTTATAATGCGAATGTTTTGTTTCAGGTGTGATAACTGAGGAGTGCTGTGCCTGGCTGTGTCTGCTGCAACATTGATCAACACAGCAGCTTTGACCAGTCTGGGGAGTGCTGTGCCTGGCTGTGTCTGCTGCAACATTGACCAACACAGCAGCTTTGACCAGTCAGGGGAGTGCTGTGCCTGGCTGTGTCTGCTGCAACATTGATCAACACAGCAGCTTTGACCAGTCTGGGGAGTGCTGTGCCTGGCTGTGTCTGCTGCAACATTGATCAACACAGCAGCTTTGACCAGTCAGGGGAGTGCTGTGCCTGGCTGTGTCTGCTGCAACATTGATCAACACAGCAGCTTTGACCAGTCAGGGGAGTGCTGTGCCTGGCTGTGTCTGCTGCAACATTGATCAACACGGCAGCTTTGACCAGTCTGGGGAGTGCTGTGCCTGGTTGTGTCTGCTGCAACATTGATCAACACAGCAGCTTTGACCAGTCAGGGGAGTGCTGTGCCTGGCTGTCTGCTGTAACACTGATCAACACAGCAGCTTTGACCAGTCAGGGGAGTGCTGTGCCTGGCTGTGTCTGCTGCAACATTGATCAACACAGCAGCTTTGACCAGTCAGGGGAGTGCTGTGCCTGGCTGTGTCTGCTGCAACATTGATCAACACAGCAGCTTTGACCAGTCAGTGGAGTGCTGTGCCTGGCTGTCTGCTGTAACACTGATCAACACAGCAGCTTTGACCAGTCTGAGGGGTGGAGACAACCACACTAGTAAATGGTCTGATCCATAACATTAGTGTTATACCTGGAGTGGGTTATATATGGAGATGCAGCAGCTGGAGACGTCGTCAAAGGTGGGCGGGGCCCACTTGTAAGGTATTTCCAGGTTATAAGTCCACTAAAGTTTGGTTATTGAAGCAGATAGTAATTGTATTAGGTGGGAAGGTGGTGGGGAGAGTATAGGAAAGATTGTAAGCAACAAAAATTGGAGAAATGGGTTGTAAAACTTAGAATTGAAGACTGATTAGATTTTAGGAAGTTTTAGTTAGTGTAATATGTTTATTATGTAGTCTATACCCATCCTGCAAGATTGTAGGAAGCAGAGATGAAATGTGTAAGTGATATATCATGACTAGGTTGGTAGTGGCCCACGTCAACTGAAGAACCGGGATTCTAGCCCTGGCACAGATGGACATGTTTCCTTATATTCATTGGCACTGTTCACACAAGGAGGAACACTACAGTAGGCCTACTGGTAGGGGTCGCATCCTGGGGGAGTATAAATACCCTAATAAAAATGCCATCGATGTCATCCTGACTTGCGTAATTCTGTGTTAATCTACCTGGTTAATAATTATACTGAGATAGTTTAGCGTGATGAGGGTGATGGTAGAGGTCTTGATGGCGGGTGTAAGGAAAGCCTATTAAACCAACCATATCCATTATTAAGACATAAAGAAGCACTGAAATAGGCCTATTGGCTCTTGTTAGGCAGGTCCAACTCTCAACCACTCATTTGTCTAACCTATTTTTAAAACTACACAGCCAAAGTTGTAGCTTCACATGACGGGATAAATTTTCCTCAGACAGAATATAATATAGCCTGAAAATCAATAACAATTCCTCAGTAGTGTTGTAGAGGGCTTGGCCAAGTAATTTTATGCTTTGAAGTTCCAAAAATATTTTCAGTAGTATAGCCTTGAGGGTTTAGCGCTTACGTCTCCAGTCTGTATTACAGGGTCTTGGGGGAGCATTTTTGAAATTGGGTTATACAGTATATATTCAGAGACTAGGCTGATTGATCTTACCTAGACCCCCCCTTTGATCTTACCTAGACCCCATCTTTGATCTTACCTAGACCCCCCTTTGATCTTGCCTAGACCCCCTTTGATCTTGCCTAGACCCCCCCTTTGATCTTGCCTAGACCCCCCCCCCTTTGATCTTGCCTAGACCCCCCTTTGATCTTACCTAGACCCCCTTTGATCTTGCCTAGACCCCCTTGATCTTGCCTAGATCCCCTTTGATCTTGCCTAGATCCCCTTTGATCTTGCCTAGATCCCCTTTGATCTTGCCTAGATCCCCTTTGATCTTGCCTAGATCCCCTTTGATCTTACCTAGACCCCCTTTTGATCTTATAAGCCTAGACCCCCCTTGATCTTTACCCTTCATCCCACCTTGCGCCGCCACTGCTCTGCAAATTAGTAAGGTCTATACCTGGAGTACGCTGCATAGTTGTGGTGTATATATATAACACTAGGTGGTGTTGAGTGGGATAGGTAAGGTATAGAACTGGAGAATCTGCTATATGCATTATGAATGCATATAGCAGGGGAGAGTAATCTCCCCCGAAGGCATAGATTACGTAGAACTGTGGGCCTTGGAACCCACCAACGACCTTCAGAAGCTGTGTGGAATCTGTTATTGCACGTGGCTTCTGTGGGGATGTTGGTGGGTTTCGGGCTTTGGGTAGTGGTTGTGGTGGGTGTTCTACGTATTTTATGCCTTTGGCCAAACTGTGCAAAGTTAAATATTGATTTATTAAGTTTACACAATTTAATTATTTTTGTTATATTTAAGCGGCGTTCAGGTTCCTATGAATATAAACGTATTAGCGCAGCAGCACGTTGATGATAATGAAAACCTGTGTGATCTAAGGTGAAGTTATAGTCGGCAGAAAGGATTCACTAACATTTGATGAGTATAGTTAGGGGAACGATTTAGAATGGTATTAGTGAGTATAGGATTATTAACCCTGCTGGGTTAGAAACCCAGAAAAGAGAGAAGTGAAGAGTGGTTGTGCCTAGGATTCCAGTCATAACTTGCAGGTAAGGTAGGTTATGAATTCAGGCTAGCATACTAGTGTGTGTTTAGAGACTCGTATACGGCAGGACTCCAGCTTGTTAGATAAGTGTTGGTTGTTAGCCTAGTGTGCTATGAGGGACATAGAAGTGTAGGGAAAATAGTGAACATTAAAATGGTATAAAATACCGACAGGTTGTTAGGTAAGACACATATGCAACAGTTAGGTATCTTTATTATGAAACGTTTCGCCTACACAGTAGGCTTCTTCAGTCAAGTACAGAAAAGTTGATAGAAGGAGAAGATACTTGAAGACGATGTAATCAGTCCATCACCCTTAAAGTTTTGAGGTGGTCAGTCCCTCAGTCTGGAGAAGAGCATTGTTCCATATTGTTTCATACTATGGAACAATGCTCTTCTCCAGACTGAGGGACTGACCACCTCAAAACTTTAAGGGTGATGGACTGATTACATCGTCTTCAAGTATCTTCTCCTTCTATCAACTTTTCTGTACTTGACTGAAGAAGCCTACTGTGTAGGCGAAACGTTTCATAATAAAGATACCTAACTGTTGCATATGTGTCTTACCTAACAACAGGGAAAATAGTGTTGTCTTAATGATCCTAACTACCTTCATGTTCAGTTTGGATGCCCTTCAAGGGGTGTCTTTGTACTAGTGAAGCCATCTTGATACAAGCAGTTGCAAGTACCCTCCCCTTTGGATCAAACCTGAATGCCTAACACCTATATGGATAATATATAGTGATGGGGAATATAATTTTATTTTGGCAAATGTGCACGTATGTAAAATTGTTGGGGGATGGGGGCCGGGAGCGGTAAACTCTCAGGGGACAGGTCGATGAAAGTCAATCTAGGTTTGAATCAGAGGAGAGTAGTGCAAGCTGACTTTATCAAGATGGTCTTTTTTCCAGTTCAATATTGGCGTCTAAGGGATATTAGGATAAGATTTGAATAGGCTGAAATGTATGTTACAGTTTTATATCCTTTAACATGTTTAGTTACCGCAGAATCCTCCTGACAACACTGGAGACATAGTAGGCTGTTAGCAGTCACTTTGCGGGCGCAAGTGTTTATATTGCGACAGTAGAAAGGCTTAACTACACTCTTACAACAAGTATTGTAACCCTAACACAAGGTTATGGAATATATAAATGTATCATACCTCAAACTACTAATAATGGCAGTATTGAGGCTATCGGCTTCATTACTACTATTGCTACTAGGGTTGGGGTAGGTATAATTTTTTTTTTCGCCGAGCTTAAAGCTCCCGAATTGTGTGAATGTTGTCGTCCTGCTGACAAATACAGCAGTTGAGGCTTCTCAATTTCTTTTGTTTTCCTTGAACCTTTCTTTGCTGTGATAAATACAACTTATTAAAATATAATATAATGTTTCTCGAACTTCTTGTAGGTTGAAGATATTCCCCATGTTGTGGGCAGCTGCTGCTGTATGGTGAAGGCCATGTTGTGGGCAGCTGCTGCTGTGTGGTGAAGGCCGTGTTGTGGGCAGCTGCTGCTGTGTGGTGAAGGCCATGTTGTGGGCGGCTGCTGCTGTGTGGTGAAGGCCGTGTTGTGGGCAGCTGCTGCTGCTGTGTGGTGAAGGCCATGTTGTGGGCGGCTGCTGCTGTGTGGTGAAGGCCGTGTTGTGGGCAGCTGCTGTGTGGTGAAGGCCATGTTGTGGGCAGCTGCTGCTGCTGTGTGGTGAAGGCCATGTTGTGGGCGGCTGCTGCTGTGTGGTGAAGGCCGTGTTGTGGGCAGCTGCTGCTGCTGTGTGGTGAAGGCCGTGTTGTGGGCAGCTGCTGCTGCTGTGTGGTGAAGGCCATGTTATGGGCAGCTGCTGCTGCTGTGTGGTGAAGGCCATGTTGTGGGCAGCTGCTGCTGCTGTGTGGTGAAGGCCATGTTGTGGGCAGCTGCTGCTGCTGTGTGGTGAAGGCCATGTTATGGGCAGCTGCTGCTGCTGTGTGGTGAAGGCCATGTTGTGGGCGGCTGCTGCTGCTGTGTGGTGAAGGCCGTGTTGTGGGCAGCTGCTGCTGCTGTGTGGTGAAGGCCGTGTTGTGGGCGGCTGCTGCTGCTGTGTGGTGAAGGCCGTGTTGTGGGCAGCTGCTGCTGCTGTGTGGTGAAGGCCGTGTTGTGGGCAGCTGCTGCTGCTGTGTGGTGAAGGCCATGTTGTGGGCAGCTGCAAGTCTTCAGAGATGTCATTACCAGCAGCAACACCCCAAAACAATGTCTGCAAAGATAAAGGTATGGACATTACTAGATTATTCATGAACTGCAGTAACCAATACTTTGGAGTCTTGCTATGTATTTAAGAATGCTTCCTTCAACGGTTTGTAGAGAGAAAAATAGCTAAAATATTTTTAAAGCTGATCTATCCAAAATTAGTGAAACTGGAGAAATAAGTTTTTTAAATTACCACTGGTTGATGGAACTGGAGGTGTTGATGGTGTGGTGGATGGCAGAGGAGTGACTAGTGGCGCCACTATTCTTGACCTCCATGGCTAAATGGCGCCATTGACCTGGAGGAGGGGGGGTGATGACGTCAGTGATTGTTTGTGGGGGAGGGAGGGTCGTTAGGAGAAGGATCGGGGGTTGGTTACTGGTGGGAGGGGTTTGGGGGGTAGGGGGGATGGCTGTCACTTGGTAATTACCAAGGTACTAACACAGTCTTGTTACTGTTAACGTGGCTGGAACCTTGATATTTGAAACGCCCTGGACACTAGCCCAAAGATACTCGTTTGCCACATACTCGTAATTCTAATGAACAGTCTCCATGGACTCGTGTTGAAAACCGTCTTCTTGATGTTGGGCTCACGTATTTGACATCAATTGTGGGTTTAGTGCTTAGTTTCGATCAGGGCCGGATTTAGACCTGGGGGGGGAGGCACTTTATTTTTGGGGGCCCCTCAACATGGAAATTAAAATGAATTACAAATAAGAAATGAACTAAAGTGAATGATAAGCAGCAGTTTTCGAAAAAAAAGTTAGGTTTCGAAGAAGACCCCCTTGCCAGAGGGGCCCGGGGCCCCTCTGGCAGGGGGACCCGGGGCAGTTCCCCCCTAATAAATCCGGCCCTGGTCAGGAGCTCAGAAAAGAAAGATTTCCAAAGAATCAAGCTAAAGAAATGCTGCGGTCTTGACAAAGACAAAACGCCTAGCAGCATTTTCCGCAGTGGAAAATGTAGAAGCTACTAATGAAGAACCAGTACCACTACCAGGCCATACCAAGGGCGGGGATAGAACCCGCGATCAAAGTCATAAAACTCCAGAGGACCCACCAGCATTCCCAAGTACATGTGCAGAAAATAAAAAGAACATACCAAATCAAGATAGTAGAGGTGATGAAACACCACAACCACATTCTACAGATACTTGTGTGGACATGGACAGTGAAGCGTCGCCATGTGATTCAGGCCCAACCATGTGGTTTCCTGTTAGAGAAAATCATGTCCTTGTGGTCAATTGCTACAATATAGATACCGAAAGTGTGACACCAAAGATATAAATAAATACACATCGGTAATTATTATACAGTGTAGATGGAATATATTACAAACTGAAAATTACGGTCCGTTGTTCTTAGTCAAAATTTTTGAGAAAAACAGAATCAGACGAATTCTTCGAAACCTAACACACTTTTTTTTTTTTGAAAACTGTTTATTATTCATTTTAGTTCATATCTTATTTGTAATTCAATTTAATTTCCATGTTGAGGGCCTCCCAAACCTAAAGTGCCTCGACAAGTACTTCTGGCAGTCTGATGATGTAGCCAGGGTTAGGCTTGATTACAAGTACTATTGACAGTTTAGTAAACTCACAGACTAACTTCAAACTAAATGCAAAGTAACAAAAAAATAAGCACAATACCGTGACTGGAACGATACACAAATAACCCGCACATAAGAGAGAAGCTTACGACGACGTTTCGGTCCGACTTGGACCATTTACAAAGTCACACTAGCCAGAAGTAAAAAAAAAAACAAAAGCAAATAAGTTCAGGTAAGATCCCAATGGGATGAGCGGGGAAGACGGGACAGATGAAGAATAGCTCTGGAGAGGAGTGTTCTTAGTCAGAGAAATAGAGCCAGGGCTTAACCCAGCAGCTAAGGCGATTGTGGGACAGACTTGAGAACAGGAATAGAAGGGACTGTTGTATCGAACTTATGGTAGTTGAAGTCTTGAATCTTGAGTAGCTGGCAGTAGGCTAGGTCACATCAGAGGGTAGAACACATGTGGGAGTTATAGGAGTAACTGAGGAGGCAAGTTAGCAATGGAGCCATTTTCGAACTTTTTGAAGCTGCTCCTAGATAGGTGGTATAATTTAGCCTTGTTACTGAAGGTGAAACATAGAGGCTTGATGAACTCAAGAACTTGGGTGAGTGTGAAGTGAAGCGGTGATTTACATGCATACTTGACTGTTCCAGCACCGAGGCTTTTGTAGATTTCAGTACAGGTTATGGTGTCAGTATTTGAAGAAGTGTAGAAGGTGAGGTTTTCCCATGAGAGTTTACTGGAGTCGTCGCTATCTTCCTCTTCTGGAGTGGACTCATTGGGCGAATCTACAATGGTGGTAGCAGGTGACTGAGGGTCGACAGGAGCAGTGGAGAGGTGTAACGGTTGAGTAACAGCAGGCTGGGAGAGGTGGGAGTTAGTTTAATATGTTTATTATGCACCCCATACCCATCCTGTGGGCGGTAGTCAAAAGATTACAGAGGTACATAATTGGTCCAGGGACTGGACTCCAAAGTTTTGATAGCTGAGCAAGTTACAAAGGTAATGAACTAGATCTGGTCATAATCATGACCAAGTTACAAGGTAAGAGATAGTGGTTGAGGCAGCATGATCAACGTTGTCAGCGGTGGAAGTGGTTATAGAAGTTACAGGAGGAGTTGCTTGTGCAGGAGACAGGTCTGCTGGTGCAATAAAGTTCAGGGCGTTGGGAAGGATCTTGAGGATGTCTGCTGAAGGTGTGGAGTCCGGAAAATTAAAGGCAGGCATGTTGTTCAGACGGAATAGTTCGTTAATAGTGGTGTTGAAAGTGCCGGGGTTTGCTGCATTTGCAAGGTGTGCATACACCATGCAGCACAGCACCTTCGAGGAATCACCGTCGGGGAGTGGACAGAGGGAGTTGCTGGGCGATGGTGGCTGTATATTAGCGTGTAGAGTCTTGGTGATGTCGGTTTGTGGTTTGGTTATTGCAGCGTATGTCGGTGAATTGGAGGTGTTCTTCAGAACTTTAGTTTTCTTCAATGTGATTTCTTTCCTGAGTGGGCACTTAGCTGCAAGGGTATGATGATTACCCTTGCAGTTAAGACATGTTGGTGCTATAGTAATGGTGCAGGATCTGAAATCGTGTCCATCATTCCCACATTTTGAACAAAACTTCTTATTCTTGATGGGGCAGTCCTTGGTGGTGGTGTTATAGGAGTAGCAGGTCCAGCAGTGGGAGATGTATGTGAAACGTTCTTGTTCTATATGACTAGGGTGAATGTGGTAATATGAGATGGCCAGACCATCAGAGAGAGCTTGGGCAGCCATTGGAGATGTCTTGAGAATGTAATCTTTAGCATAGATGACCCCTCAAGGAAGGTTCCTTGATGTTGGTGAGGGGCTCTTGATTTAGGGAATTGGATCTGTGTTCCAGTTCCCCGAATTAAGCCTGAATGCCTTCCACATCCCTCCCCAGGCGCTGTATAATCCTCCGGGTTTAGCGCTTCCCCCTTGATTATAATAATAATTTAGCATAGATGAGGCGCTAGGGATCTTGGAGATGCTGTCTACCGAGGCCCAGGTGTTTTGTTCCTCAATGGATATCTTCAGTGCTTCAGTAGAGAGAGAGGTGACGATATTGTCAAGTCTTTTCACAAAGACCGAACGTTTCGACTTCAAGAATGGAGACGGGGATAGAGTGAATTGTTGTGTTTGTAGGGTCCTGATTGAAGAGTCGTCCATTAGTTTTGATGCTTCCGTGTCATCTGTGCAGACGACAATGAAGGAGTCCTTCAGAGTGGATTGCCGTAAATTTGACCTGCAGGCAGGTCCTAACGACGGTAGCTAAAGCTAACTTCGAGGAGTCATTAATTGCACCGTCCACAGGCTTGATTTTCACACGATGCGACAGCATTGTGAAAAGGATGTGGCGTTTGTAGAATACAAATTCCCCACCCCGGCGGGGTCGAAGGGAGGCTTCTTGAGTGTAGAGCAACTGTGTGATCGGGCAGAGCACGACGGACCAGGAGTGTGGAGTGACCATGACGAACCTATGTCTGTCAGAAAGAGATCGACCAGTTCCTCCGAAGTATTAAAGAGGACAGGAGGAGCAAGAAATAGAGTAGACACCAGGAACATCTGTAGAGGGAGGAGAGGTATGAACGAGATCTCTTTCTGACAGACTCAGGGAGCACAAAAATAGTGTTAAGCTTGCCGACACTAACAATGCTCTTTTCTGTCACGTCAGAGATCATAGCCATCCTATTGACTGGTCTTCTGCTAAAACTGTCTTCCCTACTTCCAACTCGAACAGTCACCATCTAGTTGAATCCTCTCTAATACACAACTTTCCTTGTATGAATCTTAGCCCTGGCTTCGTCTCTGTAGATGCCTTCCTCTCCCACTACATTGTAAAATGCTCCAAACTTCAGAACACCCGTGACTTAACCTGACTCCTCATTTTTTCTTTTTCTTTTTCTTCTCCCTCTTCCCCTTTCCTCTTTCCTTTTTCTCCTCTGGGTTGTCTTTCTCTCTTCTGTCTCGTGTTTCTGTTCCTTCTTCATTTATTTCACCACTTCCCCTTTCACGCGCCTCTGTGCGCTTGCTCTCCCTCTGTGGGCACCTAGCTCTCTTGCAGTGCTCCCCTTCCTTTGTATTTGACTGGCTCGTCCTCCTTATTCCCCACTTCTACCACTACCACTACTACTACCTCTTCTACTACTACTACTGATGAAATTAAGACACGTGTGTGGCGTCTGGGTGTCTTTGTTGTGGACGTTTCGCCATCCAGTGGCTGGCTGGATGGCGAAGCGTCTACGATAGTGATGCCAGGGTGTTGTGCATGTGTCTTAATTTCATCTTGTCGGTATTATATACCATTCTTGTACTACTACTACTACTACTACTACCACCACCTCTTCCTGCCTATATATAGCCGTCCTGCGCCACTTCTGGTTAGTGTGACTTTGTAAATGGTCCAAGTCGGACCGAAACGTCGTCGTAAGCTTCTCTCTTTTATGTGCGGGTTATTTATGTAAATGCAAAGTATATGGTCACCCCTGTGTTCACTTTGTTGAACACTTCGTGCTTAATTATCCACTTACCGAGGAATATAGGGATAGACATTACAATAACATAAGTAATACGTCAAGATACCTTATTAAATGAAAATAAGATACCAGACATTGTAAGAAAATATCTTAACTTTGCATGTAACAGATGAAATATAAACTGCAGATAGATGCTGCATATATGCAGATGCAATGCAGTTAACACTTTTAAAGCCTAGTTCCTAGCTCTTTTGTGTATCCATATGTTCTTGTACTACCA